GCTAAATGAGCAACTCCACAGACAGCCTGGCACACGGTTAGGCGCATGGCGTCTGGAGCACGCTCGCCAGAGCCTGTGCTGGAGACCCACTCGGTGGGTGTGCGGCCATGGACAAGCTGCTGGAGCTCTCTCTGTCTGAGTGTCCTCTTCTGTGCCCTTTGACTAACAATAGTTGCTTCCTTCCAGAGTTACAAGGAACAGATGAGGTGACTTAGGTCAAACGTTTCATTCCTGGTCTGCCGTGTCCTCCAGGTTCTTTATACAGAGCCTACGTTGTTGGCTTTGGTTTCTCAGGCCGGGGGTTATCTCACTGCCCCCAGCATGTAGCACCTCTGTGCGGCATAGTGCCTTTCCTGGGCCACAAACTCCTGTCAGCTCTCCCAGAAACCCTCCCTGCCGCTCAGGGGACCTGGTGACGGAGTCCTGGGTGTGCATTTTGCTCCTGACTTCTTGGTCCAGAGCCTCCGCCTTGTGTGGTAGGCATTGGGATGATATTCCTTCTGGGTCTTGTCTCAGTCCTACAAGGACCCTGTTTCTCTTTTTCTGGGCCTCACTTGGCTTCCCTCAGGGTGCTTGCCTGATGCCACCCGTAGCATTCCTGTAGAAGACTCACACGTGAGAAGGACAGTTAAGCAGAACTTGTTAGGGGATGGTGGAGAGGAAGCCAGGAGGAGGCAAATCATGTGAGCTCAACAGAGACCCAACTCACAAGAAATACTCAGCCCCCAGATGTAGGGTACTGTGGCTCTTCCTGGTCAGTGTGTATTTCCCCATGAGGCTTTTTGCATCATGAGATGTCCTAAGCCAGGGACTTCCTGAAGCCAGGGGCTGGTCCCCTCTACACACGCTAGTGTGTCCTCGGCCTGCGTGCCCCTGACTACGGCTTGTATCCCTGATACTAACCAACAGTTTGCCAGGACGTCCACAGCCCTCTTTTTCTGGCTGCACTGCCCCTGGAGTGGCCTGCTTTCTCATAGATGTAGACACTGTCTTGGGGCCACTAGTCCGTGTGTATAGACACCCCAGCCAGACTTCTCCCTCGACCTCAGGCTCCTGGGTCTGCTGCCTACTCGGGATCTATTGCGATTGCCTCCCTGACTGTCGGACGCCAGCTTGCGCAAATGAGCGCATGCTTTCCCTCCCCGAGGCAGTTTTTCTCCTGGTGTGAAATGGCATCCCCAGATAGCCAGGGCCACACGGGACACCTCCTTCCTCATGCTTTGTCATCATTCCTTGCCAAGCCCTGCTTGTTTTCACTTCCCAAGTCCCATGAGGACTGCCTGTGCCTCGCTTCTTCCTGCGATGCCTCTCTGGTCTCGGGTGTCCGTGGAGATCTACTCTGGATATCTGCAGGAGTCTACGGGCTGTTCCCTCTGTTACCCCTTAATGCACCAGCTTGCCTTCTGCTGTGGGGGTCCCCAAACCAGTGTCCCTTCCAGCCTGGCTCTTAGCCCTTACCCTGACTCACATAATCTAGCCTGGTTGCTGGGAATGTGTCTCCTCTAGTCTGTGGTCAACGCCACTCCCCCCACCCCGGCTCTGCCTCCACTCACTGCCTGTGTGCCTGGCATCATGCTCCCCTCCTCAGAGAGGCAGCCTCCTACCACTCTGCTAATACTTCCTCCTCCTCAGTCTTGTTTTCTCTGGATCTTGGCCCCCTAACTGTTGCCTCCATATCTTCACATCCCGACTTCCGGCCTTCTGTTCCACTGTTGTGTGTTTTCTGATACCCTTCTGGTTAATTTGGAAGTTTCATGAAGGAATGGATGGAGTTTATCTTCTGTACCATTCTAGGCAGCCGTTAAATAGTAGATGCACAGCCATGTTCTAGATAAGCACACAGTCCGCCAGTGGTAATGGCTCCTGCATCCACACGGTTCGGATTCAGACAGCCTATGATGGCAAGGTAACACTTTCCTCCATGCTCTGCCGTGAGCCGGGGGTACCAGGG